GCACCTCATTCTCCAATGCGAGCATAACAAACAAATTTCAAAACTTTTGCCTCAGAGATTCTTTTGACACCCATGACCCCAAAGCGTCTGAACTCCGACTCTCCTTTCTCAAGAAGAGGTCCAAGATCATAGAAATCGTCGCAGCGAAGGATGTGATGACCACTCTCTGTTTCTTCTCCTTCCTGCCTCTCACTATGCTCTTGCTTTCCAGGTCATCTTTGCCCTCACAGCCGCAGGGACGTGTGTAGCCTTTAAGAGGAGCTGCAAGCAGCAAAACCATCGCCTCTGCTTCCTCAACACTTCTCCCTTCGAAGTCATCCGCAGCTTGTTCTACAACAAGACCAACAACTCCATCATCACCGTCTCCGTGTACAAGGGCGACAACTTCTCCTCCTTGGTATGCCGATCGACGTCTGTGGAGTACATCAAGCGGGGAGAACCCTCGGCTGGCTTCCAGCTGTTCGAGAGCGAGTCGCTCAAGTACCCTGGGTTTGTGGAGTTTGACGATGTCAACGGGAAGGTGCTGACGTTTTCAGCTTCGGAGAAAGTCTACAAGATCTGGGACCTGAAGAACTACCAGCCTCTCTACTCCATCACCGACGAGCTTGTCCACGAGATCAAGATCAGCCCAGGCATCATGCTTCTCATCTACCAGAAGTCGGCGGACGGCGGGCACGTTCCCCTCAAGGTCATTGACATCGAGAACGGCAGCGTCCTGCAGTCCCTCAAGCAGCCTCTCCATCGCACGCGCAAGATTGACTTCATCGAGCAGTTCAACGAGAAGCTGCTGATCAAGCAGGAGGGAGAGCCGCTGCAGATCGTCGACATCAGGAATGGAGAGCGACTAGAAATCCCTGCGACCAAGTTCCTCACGCCCTCCGCCTTCATCTTCCTGTACGAGGTTCAGCTCTTCCTCGCCTTCAGACACAGGCATATCGCTGTGTGGAACTTCCGGGGTGCTCGAGCCTGCAAGTCCCTCGGTTGCTCACTGAAACGCTATGGCAGGAGAGATGGTCACACAGTTTGAAGACCACACGCTGTGGAACACGGACTGCAACACGAACAACATCTACATCACGAGCCATCAGGCGAGCAAGCGTGTCAGGATGTACGGACGTTGCTCATGTTTTGAACTCAGGACCTTATCATCTCTTACTGCAAGCCAACGAGGTGCTCGGACACAGACTACAACCCTGCACAAGGATGTATCCATGTAAGTTCATCTCCTTCCTCCTCTTGCTGTGCCCTTGGAACGGTGGTCTGCGGTGCAGTCCTCTCCATCCTCAGTAACATGGACTGCCAGGTGTCGAACATCGTTGACGGCCGATCTCTGGCTAGAATCCAGCCTGGCATTGGCCTGCAACAACAACAACAACAACAACAACTAGCACTCAACGACGTCACCTCGCTTTTCTACAACGAGGAGTACAACGAGATCTACACGGGCAACAAAGATGGACACCTGCATGTCTGGAGCAACTGATCTCAAGTTCGCCCGTGAGATAATGTTTTTGTAGTTTGCACATGAAATGAAATGAACGTCCCCAACATAAGACACGAAGGGCAGGGGTTTCAGTGTCACTATTACCATCGTGCTTGTTTAATGTAGTACTTTACGTGTTCTTTGTTTTGTTTGTTCCTCGTATCATAGCGAGCAAGCACTTATCTGGCCATACCCTTCCATCATCCATACGCAACTGGTTGTTTACTGGCATCACCTGACTTAATACCATAGCAGCATATACCTCCTAGACTCACTAGTCCCTGAATGCCGACATTTGTCCGCCCCTCAGCACACATCGTCTTCTCCCTCTTCCGTCCACCAGCAGTACCTCTAGGCCTTCGACGAGCTTTCATGCAGTTTCAAGATCATAATTCATGTTCTCCAATATCTCTTGACCGTACAGCAAACTCAAGACCCTAGTATCCTTTTCATCATCTGAGTCTTGTGCAAGATCTTGAAAGAAGTTCTTACGTTGGATGTAGCTGTTTCCGACGAGCTTGCAGTTCCGCCAAGTAAGCCATCTGCCGCAGCAAAGATAGCGGCATCTATCAGGGAAGTGCAAGGCTACTGGCTATGCACCATGGTATCTACATAGAGATGCGAGCTATACACCATGATATCAACATAGAGATGCGAGCTATACACCATGATATCACCAAAGTCTCTCGAACTCAGTGTACCGTGTTATCAGTGAGCCCTCCGCTGACCCCGTCCTGCTGACAGTGATCGGAAGCATGTCACTAGTAGTCGCTTTCGTTCCCGTTCTTCACGGTCTGCCGCTATTTTCAGGTTGGGCTACCTGAGTTGCACATGGTTGTCCCGGAGACTGATCGCGGCATTTGATCACCATTGATCCACTTGATCACCATTGATTCGTGACTCAGTCTCATCATCCGATCCCGTCCCATCCCGCGAGCCCGTTCAACGGTTGAGTCCGACAGTACGGTCGCAAAGTCTCGGGTTGGTGACTACTGATGACACGAGCCTGTCACGTCGAGCAAGACGCACTACTACTTGACTTGAGTGAGTCCATCAACAGTTGAGCGAGCTGAGCCGCTTGACTCTGATCGGACAGCCTGTCAGGCTGCCACGGTCCGATCAGTTCCCGGCGGACTCGGACGCCGGCGTGACTTGAGCCAACGGTGGCACTAAGGCTATCCCGGAGTCCTGGCGACCGTACAGTCACGGTCTGAGCCTCCGAGGGTCGTGCCGCGTGCCGCGAGTTTATTCAAAGGCAAAGAGAGTCGAGGAGGCTTGACCCTGACCGTGACTGTCGCACAGGCCATACGGCTAGAAGAGAAAAGACAGCGAGAACCAACTTGAACTTGAAACCCCAGAGTCCTGCAGTGCCAACTACCGTACCGTGATACCTTCACTTAACAGTGCGCCCGCAAGACTATTCCCCCGGGCCATGCCAGCAATCATAGGGGCTGTGCCACGGCCCGGTGGCAAGCGGGCCGGGCCTCCTCGCCGTCGGATCGGACTCCCCGGACGTACGTGACTCAGTGACCGTACGCCCCGTCCGAGTCTCAGTACGGTCCTGATTCAACACGGCCCCGGCCACCTTTGAAGGACTCAGTGACAGGCTACCGGCGTGACTGACTCACTTATGATCCGGTCCGATCGGAATGGCCGATCACTGATCCGATCAATATCTCCGAGTCAAGTCACTGACTTAAAAAAAAACCTCGGGATTTTTTTGTCTCGATTTTTCGGAAGTCTCATTTTTACCGGCGTGGCGGGCCATGACACAGTGTCGAGTACACCACCCTACCCCCTCTTTTCCGATGTTTGCAGTCTAATTTCATGGGGTACCAAAAGGCCAGAGAAAGAAGTCACCGATGAACTCTGGCTAAGTCACATCTCCTGCCGGACTTGTAGAGGGCAGGCTCTCATGCTGAGCTTCTTTCTAAGTGAGACTCTAATGCATAATGCTCAAGCCCTCTCCCCCGCCCCTTGCTCCCGCCCTTCGGAAGTTCCGAGTCCCCACGCTAGAATGACCAGGTATCAAGAGAGCGCATGTCAGTTGTAAAACTCTGATCCGATCCGAAGAAGCCGATCATGAGACAAGGCAGCGAGAAGAGCGTGCAAGCATTATGATAGCATCGCATGACAGCTTCATGTCGACAGCATACTATGATAGCATGACAGCTTCACATAGACAGAAGCATACTGACAGTATAGGACCATTCCAGTACGACTCGAGGGCTGCCTGAAGTAGAGGATCGACTGTTCAAGAGGGCCGAAGGGATGAGAGAAAGGAGTCTGATAGTCCGAGACGAGAGCTGTACCTGAGCTGTCAGATCTGATTTATATGCAGGCACAGAGAGTTTGAAAAACTGCATGGCCATGTGCAAACAAAATGGTTTCAACGCATACGTACCCCTCGCTGCCCTCCCCCCTCCCTTGCCCGCAATCTGCGTCCTTGTGGACGTTCGTGCTCGCAGTCGCGTCCTCCTTGCCAGCCCTCAGTGGATCTCGCTCTTCGGCTTTAAGCTCGACTCAGACGTCGTCGGGCACAGCCTGAGCGACCTGCTCCCCGACCTGCCCGTGCTGCATCGGCTGGTCAAGGAGGGCAGCATGGGGTACGCGCGGGAGGGGTACGTGAGGCTGGGGCAGCAGGGGTCGTTCCGGGTATCCTGCAGGCCGGTGGGGGGGGACATGGAGGACGGGGACCCTGTGGGGTGCGTGCTTGGGTTTAGGAGGACGCGTGCGGAGGAGTTCGAGCGGGGGATGCTGGAGACGCGGGAGGCAGTGGTGCTGGTGGGGGCGGACGCGGGGCTGACGATCCTGGGGTACAACCAGGAGGCGCTAAGATGTGTTGGGCGAGAAGGGGAGCTGAATGGGAGCGTGACGGAGCTGACGGAGGAGAAGGAAGACGGGGAGAGGCTGGCAGAGGTGTGCCGGAGGCGGCTGAGGGAGGAGGAGGGAGCGGAGGAGGCGACCTGGGAGACGGTGTGGGTAGGGAGGTCGAGGGTGAAGGTTTATCCGGTGGCGCTATACTCGGGGAGCCGGGGGAGGCTATGCGGAGTGCTGCTGTACATGCGAGAGGATAAGGGGATATGCCGAAGGACGTCGAGCATTGCCAATGTGTGCGAGGCGAAGTGGGAGGTCCGAGAGGACAGGAGCTCTGTCAGAGGAGGAGGGGGGAGACAAGGGAGACAGGTTGTTGTAACACCCGTCAAGTGGTACATGCTTCATGCGCTGGGAGTGGTGTTGATACTATTGGGCGCATGCCTATTAGTCAGCTTTGAGCAAGAAGGGCAAGACGAGGGTAGGGTACACCTATGCTTGTATTAAAGTGAACTGCCTTGCTGCTGGAGAAGCCCTTGCCTTTATGTGTAAGTTGTGCTGGGGAAGTGCATGTCATGTGCTAACTACATGAGCAACCGATTAGACGGTATCCGATGATCAATTTGCAAAGCCTCTGATTGTTTGATACTCACGCCAACATTGCCCGGATATCTTCGCAAAAGCCTTGGCTCAACCCAAGTTCTACGGCTGTTTTCTTCCGACCCCCGCTGGCTTGTACCGCCGGAGTCCGATCGGATCTCTCACTGTCAGTGAACTTGGGAAGTTCTCACTGCCCGGCGGGCCGCGGGCCCCCCGGGCCCAGAGTCACTGTGCCGCGTGACCGTCGGACTGCCGCAGTGCCGCGCCGAGTCAGATCATCAGTCTCGGACTGGAGTCCGGGCGCGGCAGGTGACTCGAACGGCGTCGGAAAGTCTGAGCCTAGTACGCCGGGTACGCCGTGTCGCCAGGTTCAAACGGTTGCCCGGTGACCTGTGCCAACGGCACGGTCGGAACTAAGTTGAGTCACTTCCGGGGACTCGGGACTGGGATGGGCCCGGCGGCCCCCGCGTGCGGGCCGACCCGGCGTACGGTCCGAGGCTCAGCCGGCGGCCGCCCCGCACTGCACTGCCATCGGCCTCAGCAGCGGCGGCACCCAGGGCCACCGGCCCGGGGTACTATGACCGGGCCGGGCGGTGCCCCCCGCCCCGGCGCGTCCAGTCCGGCCGGCGGGCCGCACCCGGGCCGGGTACGCCTGCAGTCCGTCCGCTGTCGGAGGGCCTCCCCACCGCGCGGCGCCGGCCGGCGGCCGGGCCACGGTCACAAGTTACCGCAGTACTCTCGGAATTAGCCAAGTTGAGTGAAGAAGGCTAAAAGCGCGCCGGGGCGAGTCACTGCAGTGACTCGGTGGCACTGTGCCACGGTGACTCGGCGAGTCGGATCATCATGCGGATCCGACGATCGGACGCGCCCGTCGCCGGTGCCGGCAGCCCGGCGGGCGGGCCCGCGACCCGGCCGGCCCGGCACTACAGGCGGCCCCGCAGGCTGACTCCCGACTCTATCATACCGGTAGTGATCCCGCGGCCACGTGACTGGCCCCGGCGGGCGCCGGCGAGTTGAGTGAAGGGGCTGCAAGGGCCCATGAGCCCCGGGGGTCTCCCCTTGTTTACTTCACTCATGGCTCATGTCACCAGTATAACATGAAGCGTTTCACTCGATTTTATGTCATCTCTGTCAGCAAGATCACATGGGACTGACGGGTGTGCTCCCGAGACTGTCTGTCCCGCAGATCCCGCCCCTTACCCCTTCCGAACACGCAGACCATGAAGGGGTCAAACAGTAGTTCCTAACCATGTGTGATTTTCATTATAGTGAGACTTAATAGATCGCTGCTCTAGTACCCCACCTTGTGTTTACTGTTTCGTGGAAACCGGAGTTTCGCGCTCACTAAAACGGTTTTTGAGTTTAAATGTGAATTTTACAGCTCAGCTTGGTCACATGGCATATCTTCTATAGCCACGGAGCTTGGGGAGTATTGAATCCCAGGGGTGGGGTGGGTCTGAAGACCCAGTGGATGGGGTAGTGATATGAGAAAACAAAGGGAAAGTTCAGGGTGGGGGTGGGAGATTTGTGGTTGTCTGAAACGATGCGGTTCAGGAGGTGGGGTAGATGGACAGAAGGTCTTATTGAACAAGGGTAGGGGGTACCACCATAAAATTGATTTCTGAAGTGGGGTGGGCCCAGAAGTCTGTCTGTTGAAGTCAGTGGGCATAGTGGTACATGCTTGAATATTTCCTATTAATAGGAATAGGTAATATAGGGATAGTCCCTACATAGAGGGTGAAGTCTAAGAGGTGGTAGTGTGAAGTAGCAAGGATTTGAAAAGTAGGGGGTAGGGGTAATAAGAGGTGCGGTAGGGTCTAACATGGACATAGTAGAAGGAGCAGGAGGCCGATCGCGGATGCAGAACAGCGGGAAGCAACAAGAAATGGCAACAGCGGTAGCAGCGAACAGCCGGTTCGACATGTCCAGTATCAAGGACGAGGAGAAGCTGGAGCTCGATAGAGCTGATGAAGGGAAGTTTGAGGGGAGCAGCAGAAAGCCTGAATGCGAGGGTATCGATGCCACCAAGAGTGGTAGGAGCGGGTCCATCGTTGGGCTGTCCGAGGTCGGGAAGGTCGGACTGATTGATGAGACTGAAGCCGATGTCGATCAGAGCACCACGTTGCAAGGTGGTGGGGACGAGGAGAAGCCAAAGAAAGCTCCTGCCAGGCCAATGATAAGACGAGCCAATACCCTGCATGTCGACTCGCCGAGTGCAGCGATTACCTCGGCCCCTGCCCCTGAATGCTTCAGGGGGATATGCGCCGTTATGGGGATGTGCATATGTAACATGAAGGACAGAGCGCAACCCACCATCGCCTCCTCAAAGCTATGTCAGAACTCGTTCAGAAAGCTTGCGGTCGAGGCTCAGGAAGCTCCTCCTCCTGAGGTCGAGAAGCCTGTCAGACCCGATGTGATCAAGGAGAAGGATGGGGATAAGCTTGTGGACGGGACTAAGGAGGAGGAGGGAGGGGAGAAAGAGGAGGAGGGTTCTGGGAGCGAGGAGAAGGGAGCAGAGGAAAAGGCCGGGGAAACAACACAGAATTCCTCAGTGGGGGGAGGAGCAGAGGAGAGTGTCAATCTAGTGGGGTCAACGGTGAAAGGATTCTTTTGATTCTTTTGTGCAAGTAGTACAGCTAGATTTTGTTAGCTGGTCTTTTTTTTTGATTCTTTGATTCGCTTGTATTCTTTCAATCAGGATGTAGGAAAAAAACGCAATGAACGTTGAAAACTTCCTCAAGCAACTTGTCATGATCTACCTTGTACCCGTCGTGCTGTATTTCTCTGCAGATCAACACAGTTAGCTCAGAACTCCACATAACAGCTCTAACTCTCATGCCATGTTAAATATCATGTGCCTGCACAAGAAATGTGCCGTCCATAAACTCAACATCGATCTTCATTCTTGTGTCTATCTCCATCCAATCCCTCTAGTTCTTGTATCAGGTACCCTGATCTGTCCTGTCCTGTCCTGTCCTGTTCTCTCCTGTCCTGTCCTGTTCTCTCCTGTCCTGTCCTTACTTGTCCTGTCCTGTCCTGTCCTTACTTATCCTGTCCATCCCCGTCCTGTCCTCCCTTGTTCTCCCCTGTTCTGTTCTGTTTTGTCCTATCCTCCCCTGTTTCCCAACTTCTTCCTCACCAAGTTTGTTTCTAAGTGAAGGAGGGACGTAGGCGACAACTCGCGTTCCAGACTCCTGGAGTCATGCCGTGAGTAGTGGAGGAAACGAGGAAGGAGAACGGAGGGAGGAGGAGGCAGCAATGGTACTAGTAGTAGCAAGCAGCAAAACAAGAAGCAGCAGTATTAGGAGTAGTAGTGGGAGGAGGAGGAGAAGTAAGAGGAAAAGAAGAAGGAGAAGGAGAAGGAGAGGGAGAAGGAGAGGGAGAAGGAGAGGGAGAAGGAGAAGAAAGAAAAAGTTATTGAATACCTGAAAGTCTTCTTGGATGATCGTCCCAACCTGAGTAGCACAAACATGGGAAAACCAGGAGGCATGCTGCAGGAGTTTACCTTGTGGATTTCCGCCAGAAGGTCAGAAGCACTGCGGAAAGGTTAGAAGGCGAGGAGAGAGGAGGAGAATAGCAGATGAGAGAAGCAGGGATGAGAGGAGGGGGAGGAGGAGAAGGGGAGGAGGAGAAGACGAGGAGATGATGATGATGAGGAGGAGATGAGGAGGAGATGAGGAGGAAATGAGGAGGAAATGAGGAGGAGGAGGAGAAGGGGAAGAGGAGAAGAGGAGCAGGAGCAAGGAAGATGTTGAAGAGCGGGAAAGAGAGGGGGGGTGAGGGTAACTAAGAACAGTTTGAAAGGTCAAGTCGTGTGAGTTATGATGCAGTAATGAACACACAAGTCAGTCGTGGTACCTGTAAGGGAGCAAGCATTCGATCATGACGGAAAGTTGAAGCAGGGCCTGAGGTGCAAACAGTTATCAAAGTTTGAGGAGAGGAATTTAACGTCTTTACCTCTTCCACGATGTCCAGCAGCTGAAGTGAATGAAGTGCGTAAGAGGAATAAGAGTTAGGAACGGAGGGACAGGAGCAGTGGAGACGAGCAGGAAGATCATCTTCATCAGAAGCAAGATCATCATCTTCTCCTCTGATGAAGATGATGATCTTTTGATGAAGATGCTGATGAGGCATCATGAGCAGACAACAATCGTTCTGATCATTCTGCGCATGTAAGGAATAGCGAACAACAGTCCGGCCACATTTCAAACGGATCATATGAACATAGAGGGGGAAATGCTGTAAACCAGGAGGAAATTTGGCTCAAGAAATGCTGAGCAAGAAATGGCAAGAAATACCACCAAGTCTCGATACAACCTCACAACAGTACTACAACAGTGGAGACAGAGACAGAGACGGAGACAGTGACAGAGACGGAGACAGAGACAGTTGAAGCTCTTTCAACAACCAGCTCACAAAACTCAGATGTAGTCAAGAACATCTCTAACAACTCATCGTGTGTCATGTCACCTCAGCCAGTCCGTCCCCTGACTTGGCAGACGTCGCTACTGTACACTCCGGGATAACTCGTTCGTGGATGCGAAGCCATGCTGGGCTTTCGATCTTCTCCTAGAAACGAGAGCGATAAGAGAGAGGTGGCAAGGCAGAGGAAGGAAGAAGGGAGGGCAAGAGAGGGGAGAGGAACCAAGACGAGGTGAAGGGGAGGGCAAGGAGCAGAGCAGCGAGTACAGAGCATGGCAGGATAACGAAAAGAAGGCTCAGGAGGAGGAGGAGGAAGTAGACAGTGAGGGAGGCAAGAGAATTGTAGGATAGCGAATGTGGAGGAGTTGAGAGCAAGTAGACCTTATCGCAAGCATCCATCTTGTTCAGGACGAGGATCTGGAGACTCGCTGATCTCAATGTCTCCCCGTGCAAGAGAGCTTCACTTCCACCTGCGGAGTGTCTTCCAACATCAGCTCCTCGATGATGTTCTGGACGCTCCATATCTTGCACGCGAACGAAAGTCAGGAGCACAGAGGGCAG